TTCCTCCCTCCTCCTTCCCTCTCACTCTCTTCCTCTTTTTCTCTCTTTTTTCCCCCCCCCATCTTATTTCCCCAAATGCCAGGCTATTCTCGAGCAAAGACGTGGGAATCAAGTCTCAGATAACCCACACAGCACAGTGACATTGATGGATAAGTCACACTTTGTACTTCCCCCTATATTTATTGGAAGGTGAAATAAAACCAAAATGTGTTTTAAAATCCACCATGAAGGAAAAAGAAATCTACTCAAAATATAGTGAAAGAGGCAGCAGTAGAAGAGGCAGGAATAAGTGGTTGAAAGTGAATCCACAAGGTGTGTCACTCTTGGATTCCACAGCCTGAAGTGTCTTGAGAAGTGTGAGTCAGATCATCTTTTTATGACTTTCCTATGGTCCAGCTGGTAAGGATGCTCTCTGTCCATGTGACTTTGTTTCCTCTACTCACCTAAAGGTTCCTGAAAAGGCCACTTCCATCTTTCACTTAAACTTGAGTGCCTTTTAATGAGTTTGATAACAAGCTAGACTCATTTCTCTCAATTTAGGAAAGACTAAACTGTGAAACTCACGACCTTGTAGAGCCCCTGACCAAAGGTATAGCTCTCTGAAGTGTTTAGTTTCCACCCTAAGTGGCTGCCTGGAGGTCTGGCATAAGGTGAGGTAGGTTTTCTAAGTGAGACCAGACTCTTTGAGAATGAGAACTCTGTGGTCCTCACCGATGCCTCCTGCCATACACAAAGTACCTAGGCGAGGTCTTGGAAGTTGCCCAGTGAGTATTCGTACAGCCAAATCTGTAGCCAAACGAAGCCTACTCTGAGTGTCTAGATATTCACTTGTAATGCTTTGCTCACAGGTTTGCTGAAAATTAAAGAGTAAAGAAGGAAATCAGTGGCCTGGAGCTCTCATCCTGTGCCTGGCATTGCAGGTAAGAATCAACACACAGGTGACCCCCTTTTATTTTTTATCATTTTTTCCAACAAACGAGTTATTATTCCCATGTGTTACTAAAGGGGACAGGGAGGAGAGTGGTAGGACCTCCCAATGTTTCGCTGCAGAACTAAGATTTAGATTCATACTTCCCCTAGTATGTTAAACTCCCTCCATAAGCAGACACGGTATGGCAAAGTCACTGACTTGCATAACAAACAGCTAAGATGCATGAAGTGCTTCCTGTGTAACAGACACTGGGATCTTGGTGAACAATGAGTGGTTTGCAAGAAAGGTTGCAAGAGGTGGGGTGGAATACAGTGCAGTGGGCAGTGACCCACAGTGAGCAGCTGGTTCTGAAGAGTGTTATCTGCCAGGCTTAGACACATGGGCTTTAGCCCAGACATGCTAAGAATTCAGTAAAGCACAAGACTGGGCTTGAAGAAAGTGCCCAGCAGCAATTTGCTGAACAGAGTGCAGTGGGCAAGCAAACAATCTGGAACAGTCTTTCTTATGGCACAGAAAGATCAAAGACCAGGGTGACAAGCTGGCTAAAGGAACTCAGCATTTCAGTAGCAGACATGGTGCTTATGTGTTATGTGTGCCCACTCGTTCACTAGTCAGAGCAGTATGTCTGTCATTCATACTATTTCCATCATCATTCTCCAGAAAAGAAGACTGGAGCGCAAAGGCTGAGCAACCATAACAGCCATAACAGAACAAATCCTGAAGGCCTACAGCACTTGTACTGACTCTTTGACAGTTTTCAGCTGGTCTGTGGCAGGACTGGGTTTGTGCCCACATATCATATCCTGGATCCAAAGATTATATGCCTAACCTCACGATGGGATGTGTTTGTTTTCTCACTCATTGTGTTCCAGATATTCAGGAAGGTAGGGGTCTTTAGGATCATAAGGGCCAGCCCTCTTCTCCACCCACATAGATGCTCGTAGCCCTGTGCTGTTGCCTGCTTCACCATCTCCAGTGACAAGGGCCTCTTTCTCCACCCAAGCACCCTGCAGAGTTTATTACTTTTTTTTAATTTTTGGTTTTCTGATACAGGATTTAGGCATCTATCCAAACACTGGCCTTGAGTGTGCCATCTTCTTGCCTTAGTTCCCAAGCCTAAGAAATACAAGCTTGTGCCCACTCTGGTTTGGGGCCATGTTTTGACATAGGCATCGCGAAAACTTCATCCTTTTCTATTAATGTCTAATATGTGTTTATTCAGATAGTTTCCCGCTGATCTTGATTGAGGTGTTTTAGTGTGGCTTCTTTCTTGAAGGAACATCCATCTGTAAGCCCTGTTGCTGATGTCCTGACAAGAATAAAGATATTCTAAAGAGACACATATGTCCCCCCTTTGACTGTTAGACTATTGAAATGATGGCTCTCACACTGGGCAAAGGAAAAGGCTGGCAGCCTGGTGTCAGCCACAGGGATTGCTTGTCTCTGGAAAGAGATTTCACCGTTCTGACAACTTGTGGGAGAGCCTAGACAGACGGTGATGATGGACAGGACTCCTTAGCTACACACACATGACTCTTGCACTCTTTTTAAATCATGTTAGGACTCTGAAGATGGACTTGAGGTCAGGGAGGGTCTCTCTTTTCTGTTTTTTTCACCGTTGTTGAACTTGCCTATTGAGGGCATGTGGCCAAGTCTGACTTCTTAGGGCTGCCAGGGGCCACGTTGACACTAAGAACCTCAGTAACACCGCCTTTCCTCCTGTAGGCTGACTGAAGGGAGTAAACAACCAACCCACAAAGCTACCATTTGTACATGACTAGAGTGGGGACATGGGCTCTATACCAGGAGCTTCTTCTCTCTCCTCCCCTCTTCTGGGTGGGGTGGATGAGATCCTTTGAGAGAGGCTTGTTCTCTTAAGGAGGTCACTACTAGAAAGGCAATTTCATAATTTTCACTGAGTCCTAGTCAATTTGGCCCAGTGCTTCTGGTACTTTCTATGAGCCTTTCTGGCCCTTGCTCCGCTGAACAGCGGTTGAGGGTACAGACTGGAGCTATTGGTACTACTGGTCAAAGTCCACCAGAGATTTCAAGGAGTGCTCTTTGCAGGCAAAGAGCTTGGAGCCAGGCCTGTGCTAATTGGCTGAATTTGAATTAGACGTTCAAACCCTAGCAACACAATTAAAGCTGAAAATGATCAGCTGGGATTAAAAGAATTCAAAGGGTAATTGCTTCTGAATAAGCCACATTGCTCCAAGTAGCAGGAACGTTTGGTGGAACTGGAATTAATTATATTGGGATACTTGCTTATTTTTATAGAGTCTTTTAAAAATCACTTGGAAATGGCCAAGCTATGCCTTTTTCCTAATACTCTTGGGTTTGGTTAACTGCTGTGGGTTTGTCTGCCAACTGCAAACTGCAGTTACTTCTGTTCTTGGAAACCGTGAAGGCACAGCACTGCCTTCACCAGTTATCAGTGTGACAAATCCTTTTATTGCCTTTGTAATAATAATATCTAAATTTGTATAGTGCTCATAACATTTTTCAAAACACCTGTTGCATTGGTTTGTCTTCCCAGGAACCCCACGAGATGACTTAGGACTGGAGCTGTCCTTTGGAGATGATAAAAGGCAGAGAGAAGCAAACATACAACAGGTTAGTATTGGAGATCATGCGGCAGCCCACAGTGCCCGCCTCTTACCCAGGATATTTGTTCTATTGGACCTGAAAAAAAAAAAGCAACTTGTTTGCTAATTAGGCAGGGCCAGGCACCTCCAGCCATGAAGTGAAAAAGTCCTTGTTGAGGTTCAAGGGGAAGTTGAAGCTCATGAATGAATTGGCCATTTAAACTGGAAAAAGAAGTGGGGGAAGAAGCCTGGTGAGACTGCGGGGAGGCTGTTGGCATACGGTGTTTAAGGCATGAACTTTGGCTCAGAGTTCGTCCGGAGCCTTGGCTTACACTTGCCTCTTCCCTTACTTGGTTTTGTGTCTGTCAAGTGACTGTCACTCAAGCACTTCATTTCTACTTCTATCCAGTGACTCTAACCTTGACCTTCACCTGCATTACAAGCAAGTCCCAATGAAACATCCAGTGTACCAGAGTCAAACAAATCTGAGATACTCTGATCACTGCATCTCTTTCTGACATTTGTCTGTGACAAGAATCATCAAAGACCAGTGACCTTGGCAGCTCTTTTCTAATAAAACTTCACCTCTGTGTTTTAAGGTGTGTTTAAAGGGATATTTTTCTGATTACGATGATGGAAGAGGTTTCTAAGATTTCAGAATTTGGGAACAACAGGCAGAGGTAGATAGATACAGAGTATCCAAGAGATCTCCTTCCCACTGGTGCTCATATGACCCCCAGTTTCTGTGGCAGCCCTGAGTGGGTCACCCTACTTTAGTAGTTGTTCTGGGGATAGAGTTTTCAAACAATGCTTGCTTCTTATTGTAAAGCCACAATAGAAACATCACTTCCAGATTTCAGACTGTTTCTGTGTGGTTTACTGTGGAGTAACACCAACCCAATATAAAGTATTGTATTATATGACATGCAAAATTAAAAGAAGTTAGCTTGCCTTCAAGGCCAACATATAAAAATCAGTAGCATCTGGGGGCTAGGTAGAAGACTCAGTGGGTGAAAGTGCTTGCTGTGCAAAAATGAGGACCCGAGTTTGAATCCCCAGCACCCTGTAAAATGCTGCGCACAGCCATGTGTACGTGTAGCCCCAGTGCTAGGGGGGGTGAAGACAGAAGGATCACTGGGGCTTTCTGTCTGCCAGCCAACTCAGGTTCAGTGAATGACTCTATCTCAAAGGAATGAGGTAGAGAGTGACAGAGTAGGAAACCCAGTGTCCTCCTCTGGCCTTTTTACAGGCACGTGCATCTGCATACACATGGGCATACACTACACTATGCACATACACACACGCAAACATACACGCCCCAAATCAGTACTGTTTGTATATAGTAACAATCAGCCACTTGATATAGAAATCAAGAAAACAATTTAATTTAGGATAGCTGCAAAAAATCAAATACTTATGAATAAAAACAACTTTTGAGATAGGATCTTTCTGTGCAGCTCAGGTGAGCCTCAAACCCCGGATCCTCCCGCTGCAGCCTCTCATAGGCTGGTTTTATAGGCATGAGTCACTAGGCTCAGAAAGACAAATCATCTTATGAATACTTATCAAAAGAAGACTTATGGAATCTCAGAGATAAGTTTAAGAAGGCTCAGAATCGGTAATTGTCACAGAAAAACAAAGCAAACTCACAGTGTGATAGCACCTTTCACTTGCTGCAATTTTTTTCCCTCAAAAAGAGGAAAGAAAACAATTGTTGGGGGGGATGTAGAGAAAAATAAACACACTGTTGGTGTGACTATAACTAATGTAGCCATTATGGAAAACAATATGGAATTTCCTCAACAATTAAAAATAGAACTACTGGGCCGGGTGTAGCCCAGTGGTAGGGCACATCTGCATAGCATGCAAGGGGCTGAGGGACTGATTGTAGCGTTGGAAAAAAAAAAAAGATTTACATAGAGGAAATGACATCAGCACACAGAGCAGGTATCTGCACTCCCATGTTCCCTGTACCATTGTTCATTACAGACAAATGACAGAGTCAAACTAAGTGCTCATCACCGGATGAATGGAAAAGAAAATGTACGTGAATAGAACTCTAATAGTTTTACAAAAAGAAAATGTACATGAATAGAACTCTAATAGTTTTACAAAAAGAAAATGTACATGAATAGAACTCTAATAATAGTTTTACGAAAAGAAAGAAATCTCTTCAATTTTTAACAGCATAAGTGAACTGGAGAACATTGTGCTAAGTGAAATGAACCAGACTCAGAAGGATAAGTACCACACAATCTCATGTATGTGCACAACCTAGGACAGGTGGATTCGTAGAATAGGGAGAAGGCTGGTGGTCACCGGAGGCTGTGGTAGGACTGCTGGGAAGGGTGCTATTTATTTATTTGTTTGTTTGTTTGTTTGTTTGCTTGTTTGTTTTATAGAAGTAAGAGTTTCTTTGGCTTATAGTACCAGAGGGATGAGCATTCACTATGAAGGGGAAGAGGGCATGGCAGCAGAGGTGGCTGGACCAGAAAGCCAAGTGCTCACATCTTTAACCAGGCACAGGAAACGGAGAGAACCTGGAATCGTAACCTGGCTTTATACGCTCATTGCCCACCCTCAGTGACTTGCTTCTTCGGGCATGACTACGACTCCTGGAGGTTCCATGGCCATCCTCCAACAGTGCCAGGAACTGGGGAACAAGTGTTCAAATACTTGGAATCTATGGGAGCATTTTCATTCAAACTTCCACAGTTATATGACTGTCCTCAATGCAAAACCACAGTGAGTCTCAATAACTTAATGAGTCAAAAAAGCAAAGTTCAGAAGACTATTCATCTGAGTTCCTTTTATAAAGTTCAAAAGCCAAACAAAACTAAGTAATGTGTTGATTTGCTCTACATGTATGTGTGCTCACTCTTTTATATAGACAAAGAGCAAAGAGTACATAAAATATTATTTAAAATTAAAATTAAGTACTTAAAAAGCAAAATAATGTCAAGCCTAAAAGTTCATGTAGAAATCATCTCTAAGAGATAGACAAAGAGGTACAATGAAGACTAAATGTAGAAGAATTAATATAATTAATTTTTCTTGCTTGGAAGAGAGTTGGAGAATCTACATTATAGTACTAGTTGTACCCACATAAATGATCGAATTACTGAAAAGACCCTTGTACAGACCGGTTGCATCCATATGCCATAAATTTGGTCTAAGGATATAAAACTTCAGTAGAGAAGAGAACAGCTCAAGAGATCTATCACACCATATCATGACAGGTATTAATTCTCAAAAATTGTTAAGAAAGCATATTTAAAAATTCTTTATCATTTATAGGTGTGTGAAGTTATTTGTTTTTTGTTTACAAGTATGTGTGTGTTTTCAGGCTCACATGCCAAAGCACATGCGTGGAAGTCAGTGGACGACTTTCAGAAGGTGGATAATTCTTTTATTCTTTCACTTTAATTTTTTGAGACAAAGTCTCACTATGTGGCTCTGGATAGCCTAGGAATCACTGTGTAGGTCAGACTGACCTTGAACTCACAGAGATCTGCCTACCCATCTCTCCTGAGTGCTGGAATGAAAGGCGTGGGCCACCACACCTGGCTGCCTTCCGCTTTGTTTAAGGCAAGAGTCTTTTTCTGCTGTGCTGTGTAGACCAGGTTGGCTTTGCCTGCAAATTTCTAGGTGAGTCTTGTGTCTCTCCCTACCGTCTGTCCATGGGAGTGGAGGAACTGCAGATTCATGACACTGCATGTGAACTTTTTGTTTTTACATGGATTCAAGTGATTAAATTTGGGTTGTCAGGCTTGTGCAGCAAATGCTTTTACCCACTGAGCCACATTGCTAGCCTTGAAAGTAGATTTTAAATATTATCATCATATATTTAAAAAAATGTGAGGTACTGTACATGTTAATTAGCTCAAATTAGACATTCCACAATGTATGCATATTTCAAAACAATACACTGCATGCTAAATAAATACATATAAATTTACATATAATTTTTATTTTTCAATAAAAACGATTGAAAATGAACTAAAACAAGAAGTTAGCTTGTCTCACAGTAGAGCCTGGAGTCTAGTTGGAGGAGGAGCTGAATGCTTATAAAATACGTATATCTTGTACCGAGCTCTTACCTAGTAGCAGAATGAGCCTGAGTTCTCAGAATGTTGTCTTTTAATCCCATGAATACTTTTGTTTTTATCCACAGTTCATATCACAGAAATGAGGTTCAGAGAGTTGAAAGACTTCCCAAAGACGACTCAATCTGTCTGTCTCCGAAGGCCGCCTCTGATGGCCCTATCAGTCAGTGCTTCCAGACTCAGTGAGCAACTCTTTCCAGCCAGCTCAGCATCTGGGTTCGTAGCTCTGAAATTTAGACAACAGAAGTGTAAATGAATAAAATCACCTTAACTGAGGGCAACTAAATGATACTGAATGAAAGCGACTTCTGGGGGTCCCACTTCTCTGGATTTGGATCCTGGATTTGTCACATAATCTGCAAATTGTTGAACCTACCTGGAACTCAAGTGGCCATAAAGAAGGGTGAAGCATGTTCTTAACTGTAACTAAAATACTTCTTGGGAATCACTTTGTGCAGAGCCTAGCCTGGCCAGGCTGTGGCTTCAACACCGTGTTTCTCATTCTATAGCTGCGGAAGAGCTTCTCCAGAGCCTTGGCCTCATGTTCACCTTTTCCTCTGTGTCTCCTGCAGTGTCATCTAGCCTCCCTTTACAGATCACAAAGAACTGTTTTCATCTGCTTAGACCTTCACATGCATTCCTGGCTTAGGAGAGCTCAGCATCTCTAGTTCTTACACGGTCAGTGACTCAGTCCAACTTTTTGCCTTGACAGTGGCTCTTAGAGCACAAGAGTGTGTTTATGGTTCACGAATGTGTTTGAATCTGTACCTGGCATGAAAAACCCCTTGGTTCCAGCTGCCTGCCCCCATGCCTCTAAGGAGCCACACCTACGGGGAAGTTTGTCCTTATGTGAGTTAAACTTAAGAGAGTGATTCTGAACTCTTGAACTCAAGCCCGGTGTCCACTTGCCTGAATAGAGAGGGAGCTTATTTTCAGTGCACACTCTCGAGAGTCTCCCTCTGGGGATATACTTCTAGAGAGGGGCTTCTTCCTTCATAGGCGGGCACGCCTTCAAGTTGAGCAGGCGCTGCCCAATGGTCATAAACTTGCAGCCATGATTCACTTCTCATGAGAATCGATGGAAATTCTGTGTCTTCCCAACCATACCCCTGTGCTACTGTCTGCCTTTAGACGTTTGCAGATTTGATCATGTGAATTGGCATGTATCATCATTGTGGAGTTGTTATTTCCCAGGCTATTAGTAAGGGCAAGCACCTTTATGTATGATTCTTGACCAAGGCGTTTTGTCTTTTGTCAATTGCCTTTCAGCTGGGCTGTGTGCTGTTTTCCTGTTGATTGAATAGGAATCCTTTTTTAAAAAAATATTTTTTATTCTCATTTTATGTGTATGAGTGTATTGCCTGCACGTATGTAAGTGTACCTGTGCCATGCAATGCCCACAAAGGTCAGAAGGACGCATCGAATTCCCTGGAGCTGGATTTATGGATGGTTGTTAGATGTCATGTAGGTGCTGGAAATCGAACCTGGGTCCTCTACAAGAGCAGTCAGTGCTCTTAACTACTGAGCCATCTCTCCAGCCCCTGAATAGGATTCCTTTATCTGTATTCTGAATGTATGAGAATAGACACACATATGTGTGTATATGTGATTATATATCCTGGATACATAAATATTCTTCTGAGTATGTCATTGCAATTTTCCTAGTCTACGTGCTATGTTTTCATGTATTCTAGTGTATCTTTGTAAGGGGGTGTTATGTTTAATGGGGTCAAATTTATCATGTTTCCCTTTATAGTTGGAAATTAAAATTATTTTTATCAGTCTGTATCTCTATAGCACCTATGGAGTCTGGAAGAGGGTGTCAGATCCGCAGGGACTAGAGCTATAAATGGTGGTGAGCCACCTGGGATCCTCTGTATGACCAGAACATACCCATAACCACTGAGTCATCTCTCTAGGCCCTAGAGTTGGAATCTTTTATGAGATTCTGACCAATGGAGACTACATTTTCTAGTAACTGGGAAGCACAGGCAATATGGGGCAGGGATAAGTGGAGGCTGATGCAAAGGAGAATTCTGGCTGGACTTTCCTCAAGGGTTGTCGGTAAGTTTTCTTTTCAACTTTTTATTTTGCAAGAATTTTAAATTCATAACGAAGTTGCAAGCGGATATACAGGGAGAGTTGAGCCCAATACTCAGTTTTCTTTAATGCTGTCATCTTGCATGACTGTAATATGATATCATCAAAACCAGGAGATTAGCCTTCCTCCAACTTACATAATTTATTCAGATTTTATTATCAATACTTGCCTTCTTGGGTGTTTATATACTTAGTCCTATGAAGCTCTATGACCTGAATAGATACCATCATCCACCTCTGAAATCAAGTCACAGGGCTGTTCTGTGACCACAGGCTCCCTGGTGCTTCCCACTTGTATCCTGTGATTTTGTTTTTGAGGTACCTTAAGATACTGCCAGCTAAAACTGTTTTCTATTTTTTTTTGAATGAATTTAAAATAGTGCTTTTAAATTTAGTTCTTAAATATTCCATTCTCTCTTGAAATCCATGAGAGATTGATTTCAGGATCCCCGAGGATGCCAACATCCCTAGATGGTGAAGTCGCTCTTATTAAAGTAGTATTGATATAAAACCCACACAGAACCCCTATATACTCTGACATGTCTAGATCTACAATGATGTGCTGTGTAAACAATGTTTATAATGTGGTGCTTAGGGAATAGTCGTCAAAGTCTGTACATGCTTAGGACAGACAAAAATGTTAAAAGTATTTCAAGCCTCAATTAGTTGAATCTTGTATATATCCATTCGCTTTTCTGTCCTTGTGACAGAACACCTGATAGTGGTAACCTCAGGGAAGAGAGGTTTATTTTGGCTCAGACGTTAAGGAGATACAACCTGGCATGGTGGAAGGCATGGTGGCTAGGGCTCCTTCTGTGGCAGCAGAAGCTTGTGGCATGGCAGGGCTATTCCTACTTCTTGACAGCAGACAGGAAGTAGAGGCATGGGGCTGGAAGTGAAGCTGTCCTAGAACCCTCAGGCCCTGCTCCTGAGGCCCTGTGCTTGCCACCTAGACACATGCAAAGATTCTACAACATCTCTAAGTGGCTCTGCCAGCTGGTGACCAGTATTCAAATGCATGAGCTTGTGGGGGACACATAACACACAGTTCAACCATAACACCACGAAGGTGGTCACTGTGGATCTGGAGGGCAGACAGAAAATACAACATGCATGGCAGAATGAACACAGGCCATAGGATCTGGTGTGTCTGTGTTTGCAGCACAGCCTGGCTGTGCAACAGTGGGGGAGCCTCGAACCACCTTTCCCAGGCTTGTTGATAAAGGAATGAGGGCGGGGCGACAGCACTATACTACTGTGCAACCTTGCTGTACACTGACCAAGGTGTGTGTAGTGAGAGAGCATTACTATAGTCAAGGCTCTCTCTGGACAGCAACCTCAGGGTCCTGATTTTCTTCCACACAAGAAGAAATTCCCGCTGTCTGCCCCCATGTGCCATCTCGGCTTATGCTGCAACTTATGTGGGAAAACTCCAGTTCATTTTTGATTTCTTGCTCCCACCTTACTCCTGAGCAGGAGTACCTGCAGCAGAGGCTTCCTAAGCTTGTTGCTGGGGCCATGCTCCTCTCTTTGTGTCTCACACATTTTCTGTTTCACATGCAGCTTGCCAGGAAGCTGCTGGCCTTGGCTGGCTGGCTAGGCGAATCCTCCCTGTGTCCGCACTGACGTGCTGGGTGCCCTTTTAAGAGGACTGCCACAGAGGCTGGCTGATGGTTCCTGATCCAAGCAGGGAAGGCTGAGCTGGGAGAGTCCAGCACATCCTTCCTGGGGGAACAGCTATTCTGGGAAACAACCTCTCCAGGCATCTCATTAGCATAATCTCAGGAATTAATGGCTTGATTGATGTCCCACGTTTCCCTGCAGTTTTCTATAAATGATAATGTATTAAAACGAGGTGGAGGAAAGAAAACATGACACAACATATATTATTTAGGTGTTTGCAGAGAGCCTGACACAAAAACACACACAATTTATCAACAGTCTTTTTTTGCATGGTGTTCTGAGCCCTGAGCCGCCAAGATGTGGAATTAATTTCATAGCAGGTGATTCTAGACTATTTC